GCAGCCATGCACAGAGGGATATAAGAGCTAGAGCTGACGGTAAGGATTGGGTAACCTAGATGAGCCACAGAGAGCTGGAATGCCACATGCCAGTACATTGGGGGACCATTCTTGGCTGTGTCTGTGGAATACCTGAATAGATTCTGGAGTAGAGGGAAAGCATGGATGACTCTAGGGAAATAAAGAGCTTTGAGGACACTCCAGCTCAGAAGTATTATAAAGATTCTGAGGTAGGAGATTCTGTGGGAGAAACACAAGATGTATAAAATACACTTTCTACACTCAGGGGGCCAACTGTCTAGTGGGGGACATAAGACCAACACATATGAAACAATTACATAAGAACACCTTATTAAATGATCAAGTTTCCAAATGCATTCAGAGAAGAAACACATTGGTGTGGGGGAATCAGAAAGGTCTTCCTAGAGAAGATAGGACTTGAGCTTGACTTTGAAGGAAGTGTAGGTGTAGGGATTGGATAGGCAGAGAGACTGAGTGGAGGGTGTTCAACATTTTTTAAAACAAGTTCACAGACCTCAGGTTAAGAATGTTTGGATTAGGGGGCAGCTAGGTGGTGCAGTGGATAGAGCTCCAGCTTTGGACTCAGGAGGACCTGAGTTCAAATCCGGCCTCAGACACTTGACACTTCCTAGCTGTGTGACTGTGGGCATGTCATTTAACCCCTATTGCCAAAGCCAAAAAACAAAAAACAAAAAAAAAACTTGGATTAAAGGAGGAGTCAACCTGGTGCAAAATTGTGAAGTTTGTCTTCTAGTTTGACTGCCTTTCTTCTTCCTTCTCCTGTCCCCTGTCCTCTCAACACCTTTGTTCAGGCACCCAGCCCTCTGGCTGCTCCAAACACCCCTAATTTGACACCCTCCCCAGTAATACTCAGTACTCCAAAATCATCCCCTCCCTTCTCCCAATACCCCATTTAAACTCCTAATTCCTCAGAATAGCTGACTCAGCTAGTTCTTTGGAAGAAAGCTTCTTATGGATGTGTGACCTTAACAATTCACTATACCTCTCTGGGTCTCAGTTTCCCTCCTGGCATAATGAGGGAATTGGATTAGAAGATCTCTTAAGACCTAGCTAAATTCTGTTATGTTAGTAAACAAATTCATATCAGTGAATGTATTAGCTCTGCCAGCAGCATTTACCTTGTTAACTCAAAAGAAAAAAAAAAAGAGGAAATTGTAATGGTAGAATTTTTTAAAATGGTTTTGAGCGGGGATGAATTTCCAAAATTCTTCAAATCACAGTATTATCACAAATTACAATTACCTATATGTAAGAATGACTCTGACTAGAGCAGGGAGATCCTGGAGGTAGGGAAACCATTAGTATGATAATCCATGCATAAAGTGAAGAGGGCCTAACATATTTCATAGGTAAAGTCTAATAATAACATAGCATTTATAGAGTGTATTATGGGTTGCAAAGCACTTTACAAATGCTAACTCATTTTATCCTCACAACAACCCTAGGAGGTAGGTACTATTATGATCCCCATTTTACAGATAAGGAAACTAAGGCAGAGATTAAGTGACTTGCCCAGATAAACACAGCTAGTAAATGTCTGGGGCTGGATTTAAATTCAGATCTTCCTGATTCCAAGTCCAGTGTTCTATTCACTGTGACACTTGTATGCCTATAACTGTACGATTTATCATTTGTGTGGAATGGCAGTGCTATTGACAGATAATAAAGCCTAAAGACAGAGCTAACTGGGAGGAAGTGTAGAGAATTCACTTTAGATATCTTGAATTCATATGGTCATAGTATCTAAATCTGGAAGGGGCATCAGAGATCACGTAGTCTAAACCTCTCCCTTATCTCATAGATGAGGAAGCTAAGTCTGAGAAGGGTCACATAAGTAGAAAGTAGCAGAGCTGAGATTGAATGCATGTCCCTTGAATCCAAATCCAAAGTTCTTGCTGCACCATGCCTCAGAGGTACTAAGTACCTTTCTAAGTTTGAAATGATGCCAAGACACACCAGTAAAAATGTCTGGCATTCAGACCACTAGGCAAACATGAAGTAGGTCCTTTGATCAGTAAGTGCAACTATTGACCCAAGAGCCTCCTATCACTATTTGACACTCTGGGACCTAGCATGGACCTGAAGCCTTGAGCCCCAAAAAACCATCCTGAACCTTGGAGCTACTCCCATGTCCCTCTAAGGCAACAGTTGTTTCCCAGACTCTGAAGCTGTGCTGCTGCCCAAAACTATGTCTTAAAAGTTAAAGAGATTTAAAAATCCGTGGAACACTCGGCCTAGGGCACATATGGTATAACTAAAGATATAATTTTTTTTGTTCAGTTATGTCCAACTCTTTGTGACCTCTTAGACCATACTGTCCATGGGGTTTTCTTGGGAAAGACAGTGAAATGGATTAAGGCAAACAGAGGTTAAGTGACTTACCCAGGATCACAGAGCTCGTGAGTGTCTTAAGGGTAGATTTGAACTCAGATCTTCCTGGTTCCAAACCCACCACTTTATTCACTGAGCCGCCTGGTTACCTTCTTAATATACCTAAATGTATGTATGTATACACATGCACACACACGCACACACATATACACAGAACAGGGAGAATTTTTCAATGACCTGTATTCAGTACATGTTTGTATTTCTTCCATGACCAAGTAATTTCTAGGCCCAAAGTGTGAACTGGTCTATCTCCTATAAGAAAAGGTAAAAGGGTTTAAAGAACTCTTCCCCATTCTCCACAGAAAAGGATCTGAAAAGGCAGGAAGTAACATTAACTTGTGTCAGAAAATTAGAGAATAGAAAGATAGGACACAGAAGAGAAAGGGAAGAAGGACCACTGAACATTGGAAGCTAAGTAGTAGACATTAGCCTCTTCCCAAAGAAAAAGGTTGATTCTCTGAGAAGGAAGAAGCTACTTGTCCTCCAATGCATAATGATAGGAATCCAATGATACTATTAGATCATCTATGAAGAAGAAGAGGAAGAAACAAGCAGTGGTGACTGGTGACTCCCTGCAAAGAGTAAATGAGGCAGTTCAGTGTCTGCCTGGTAATAACAATAAAAGGATCTGCTTGTTTTCTCTCACTGTGTATTCAAGATGTAAGAGAAAACCACCCAGGACTTAGCCAATCAGTGACCACTTCCAACTTCTGGTGATTGATGTAGGTGCAAATGGTGCTGCGAAAAGGAATGTTGGAATCACTGCTAACAATCACATTCTTGGGTAAGAAACTGAAGAATTTGTGAGCATAGGTAGTGTTACTTCTGCATAATCATAGAAGACAAGAACTTCGTAAGGAAAAGGGAGATTTGGGATTTGAACAACCAGTTAAGAAATTGGTTTCTGCGGATAGAATTTTAATTTCTAGGCCACAGCTTAAAATGATAAGCTGTTGATCAGGGAGGAAGTATGCATACAAAGACCAAGATTGTCTCTGGCTGGAGTCTTTGAATCTAATCAAAGGGGCTTTAAACTGAAAAAAGGGGGGAGAAAACTAGTTATGTATATCTACTGAGCTAGATACTCTAGAGAGTAGCTACAATATAAGAATAGTAGAGACACCTAAGAGTTCATAGGAAATAAAATGCAAAAGAAAAAGTAACCAAGCCCATGGTCTGAGATACCAATACACAAATGTACAAAATATGAGTGAGAAAAGGTAAACTAGCGATCTCAGTGTGAGGAAACAAATTTGGCCTCATATGAGACTTGGTTAGGGTGAGAGCCATAACTAGAATATGGCTCTGTGAGGGTATGCCCTATTCCAAATAGTAAAATAAATTTTAAGAGGAAAGTTGAGCAGCATTAGAATTTTAAGAAGATGGACTCTTGTGAAAAAAAAATCAGGAACCATAAGGGGACAGCCTAGTAGAAAGCATTTGAGTGAAGAACAGTGGAGGCAGAAATAGAAATATTATTGCCATTGCAGGATATTAGAACAGAGAAAAAAAATAGATGAGTTCTCGAAACATTGCAAACCTGGCATAGAGGCATTATATTATAATGATGGGGGAGGAAGGATAGTTCAGTTATCCAAAACATTGCTAGTCGGTGTGCGCGTGCGTGTGTGCATGCATGTGTTTTCTGCCCAAAAAAGAGAAAATAATTTCCTGGCTTGTCTTAATGATCATTTCATACTTCAGAAGTTGCAGGAATCAATCAGAGGAATTATTCTGGACCTGACTCTCATCAGCAAAGAGAAAATGGTTATTGAAGTAGATGCTATGAAAACTTTTGGGGGAAATTGATTACTACATCACAGCATTTGTGAGAATGAAAGTCAAGCATGCGTCCTAAATTCTGGGAGACTGTAGAGTTCGGAGGAAGGATAGGTAGGATACTATGGACTAAAAGTCCATAGAGCAAGCCAGCCCAGGAGGAATGAAAAGCTCTCGATAATGAAATTCTGAAGACAAAAACAGTTCAGTGGAGTTGAAAAGGAGGGCAGAGTTGTGTAAAGATACCAGTTTGTGAGTGCTTAGAGAATTCATCAAGCAATGTACACTTAAAATAGACAGAAGATGAAAGCAAGGGCAAGAAGAGAGTTTTTTTTTTAAATAACTACTGAGAGCAAGAGAAAAAGAAAGTTTATTAACACTGCTCCCTCTAGATGGGATGATGACAATGGCTATTAGTGAAAAGGGTGAATTACTAAATTCTCATTTTGCTTCTGTATTCTTATCCAAGGAGAATAGTCTTTGGACTTTGAATGACAGGGGGAGAAAATGATTAGCAGGAGTAGAAACCCAAAGCAAGTGAGGAGTTGGTCAGACAGCATCTAGCTGCCCTCATTGCAATCCCAAGTCCATAGAAACTACTTCTTGGTGTAGGAAAATGAAATAAATAGAAATAAAAGAAACAAGCATTTATTAAGCACCTATTATGTGCTGGGTGATTTACAAATGTCTTATTTAATCCTCACAACAACCCTGTGAGGTAGGTGCTATTATAATCTCTATATTATAGTTGAGAAATGAGGCAGACAGAAATTGAATGACTTGCCCAGGGTCACACAGCTAGTAAGTGTCTGCGGCTGGATTTGAACCCAGCTCTTCCTGATGCCAGGCCCAGCACTCTTCATTGTACCATATAGCTGCTTCATAGATGATTGCTGAAATGATTTTGAATAATATTGGAAAACCGAAGAGGTTCTAAAGGTCTGGAGAAGAGGGTGAAGTCTGCAAATTTCTATTCCTGGAAGAATTCTAGAACACATTATAGAGGAAATATATTAGTGAGATCTTTCTGAATCCTCTGTTGTCTCCTTTACATTTCTTGACAAAGCTAATTTCTTTATTAACAGATTTAGCTGTTTGTTAAGGTATAAACTTGCCTTCCTCCCAATGACCTCTCACTTAAGGCCTTACTAAGGCTGATGATGGAGTTGTGGCTAGCCATACACCTGAGCTATGTATGCCTTACTTGGCTTTTGAAAGAGGACTGGTGAGATGGATGTGGAAAACCTGAGCTGAGAAATATTGAGAGGAAAGGGACTACACATAGAGACTGTCATGCTCCATCACCAGTGTTGGAGTAATGAAGATGTTTTGGAACCAGAGGAGTTCCCAGAATAGCAGCTATTAAGAACTCAAGCCTGTGGCAGTGGGATGGCACTGGCAGAACACGAGATATTCCTGGTCCGAGCCTTCTAGACCCACAGGAGTTCTTGGATAATTCTGAATCCCTAAACCAAATAGGAGCTGGTGTAGAGGAGTATCGGGACAGAACCATGATGTGGAAAATTAAACTAGAACTTTCACTTTTACTGGACCAATGAGTTATGTGGACTCTGCAAGTCCAAGAAAAGCAGTCAACTCCATAGTAAGTTATGGAGGAGGTAAAACTCGCCAGATGGAATCTCAGCCTGGCCTAGGAATTATGTTATCTATCTATCTATCTATCTATCCTTCTTCTGGTTCCAAGAGTTTTGATCTAAGAATTCTTTTCCTTTTCCAAAAATTCCTCTATTACTCCACCACCACTTCTCCATTCTATTAGCTCCAAGTTTCTGCAGCCACCAGTCTGGCCTAGGAACTCCTCAGTGTCTTGCCACTGCCTTCATCTAACACTGTATCTGGGGCCACGTGGTTGCCTAGAGATAGTTCAGAGATGTGCAGACTTCCTTCCATTCTCAGACTAGCTGATGTCATAGATAGGTGGATTTGGAAGTGGTTGAATGACCAGGCCTAAAGAAACTAAGTGAATAATGATAGTTTAGTGCCAACTTGAGTATCTGTAGTTGAGCATCCTTGATCTGTGCTGTGTAACATTATATCAGTTACTTGAATAAAAGCGTAAATGGCTTGCTCACAAAATTTGCAGAAGATGTAAAGCTAAGATCAGCTAGTATGTTGAATAACAAGCTAAAAATTTGGACTAACTCTAACAAGATGAGACGTAATATGAATAAATGTAAAGTCAGAAAAATCTACTTCCTAGTCCAAAATAGAAGAGAACTGAGTCTCCACATGTTGTCCATCTGCTCTCCACCTCTCTCACATCTGATTCTCTGTCTCTCCAGCTTTGCTTTTAAAGGCCAAGTCTGAAGCTCAGGCTATAACTAGCCATGACCCTATCATTCTTAATATCTTGTTAAAGGGGCAAGGGGAGCATATAATGCCAGGTGGGTTTGTACTTTATCAAAGAGCTAAACTAATTTTAATAAGGATGGATTAACACCTTGTAGGGATTTGAAAGGGATTCAGAAAGGCCTTACCAGGTTCCACTTAGTCGTTATTAAAAGGAATGATTCATGATAGACAGATATAAGTAGATAAATCATGTAGTAAGTGTTTACTATGTGCCAGATACTATACTAAGTTCTGGGGATACAAATAAAAGGCCGCAAGATAGTCCTTGTCCTTGAGAAGTTTATATTCTAACAGGGGTGATAATACATAAAGGGCAGCTGCAAAGGGGAAGGGATATGTAAGTGTTGTCAAAAGTTTTAAAATAGTGTCTGGGAAATGGAAGTCTAGTTCTGGGCAAGATAAGGTAATAGTTCACTTTTCAGATCTTAGTATCACAAGAGCAGAGTTACTGGTGGTAGAAGAAGTGGGAAAGGGAGGGGAAGAGATATGCTGAAATGTAGCAGATAGCATAGTTTGAAAATGATGCCCAAGAAGTGATATCTAGGACTGGAAAGGAGAGTAGTGATCACTAAAAGTCAGAAGGACTTCTTCAAGTGCAGGCCATTGCCAGACTATCCCCACCTCTTTTTTTGACAGGATTATTTGACTAGTAATCAGGGAAATGCTATAAAGTATAGATTTTAGCAAAGTATTTCATGAAGTCTTTCATTCTAAGATGGGAGGATGTGGGTTAGATCATAGCACAATTAGGTGAATTTAGAACTAAATGAATGGCAAGACTCAAAAAGTAGCAATTAATTGTTCAGTGTCCACTTGGAAGACCTGGGTTTAAGTCCTACCTCTGACATATACCAGGTACATCACCCTAAGCAAGTCACTTAATCACTCAGTGATCTTGGCAACTCTAAGACTGAGTTGCTGAGGAGGTGCTGACTTGCATTGATAGGAGGAGTTTCTCCATTCAATTACCTACACCAATAAAATCACAAGTTCAATCACTATCTCTATATGGAAGAAGGTCTCTAGTGCAATGCCTTAGGGGTTTTCCACATGGAAGAGGGATTAGATTTCTTTTACTTGGTTCATGGGAGAAAAACTAGGAGTAGTGAGTAGAAGGTACAGGGAGGGAAATTTAAGATTGATGTACAGAAAAACTTCCTAATAATTAGAGCTATTCAAATATAAAATTGGTCAGTAGTGCACTGGTCAGCACTCACTGGAGGTCTTCAAGCCAAAGTTAGATGACTACCTTCTTGTTGGATATGTTGTAGAGAGAATTCTTTGCTCAGATATAGGTTGAACTAAATAGTCTAACATACCTCCTAACCCTGAAATTCTGTGTTTTTTGTGATTCACAAATATGCAACACAAAAGTTCTTTCATAGAACAAGAGGGTGACTAGACCAAGAAGTGAAGGAGCAAGCAGAAGGCCAAGGGAAAAGGAAATCCCAGGACAGGATTGGATCCCTTTGGATCTGTATGATGCTATATGTAGATATAATTGGGAGCTGTAACTGGCTGGAAGGTGGGAGGAGGAAAGGACCTATGGTTGTCACTTTCCTGTGATGGAAGCAATACTTTTACGTGGTAGTAGTAGCCAAGATTATCTCATGGGTTTTTTCCATCCAAGTCCATGTGTACACCCTGGGGTGGGGAAAGGAGGGGATTGGCAAGAGAGAAGGCTCCTGGGTTCTGAGTTGCTAGTCTATTTCCCGCTGTCATTAGGCACTTGGAATTATGCCAATATAGAGGGTCTGATAAGGCTGTGGGCATATTCTATCCCATCATTTGTTTCTGTCTTGGTACAATCTGTCCAGCGCCAAAAATCAAGGTGGAGCTTACAGTCAGAGAAGCAGGGGATTCAAGCGTAGGTCACTTGTTTGCTTGAAAACATTTAGTGTCCTTCAGAATACAACATTAACCACTTTTAGCCCTTTGTCCAGTTGATCACCAAGATTTTGCTAGATCTCTTCTGTGTGCCCAACCTTGTCTGGGTGCTCTGGGTAATACACAAATTTAAAACATTGTCTTTGCCCTTAGGAAGTCTGTAATCTAGCTGGGAAGGTAAAAGACACACATAACAGTGAACAATGCAAGTATTATTAAATGCTAGATTATGTGTTTCATGCACCAAGTCCTACAGGAGGTCAGAAAAAGGAGACATCCATGAAGGCTGGAATAGTCTTTCATTCCCAGTTCCAGATACTTCCTTTGGTTCTTAAGGTTATGGTCATTTGCCAGTTGGCTCCTACCTCTCAGAACTAATCGTCCAAAGCCAACTTTATACTTTTTTTACACTTACCATAATACATAAAACCTAGAGTACAGTAATAACATACAATTTCCACTGACAGTAATTCGAGTTATTGTAGAACAGCATATTATGTTCTTGGCATTGTACTAAAGCTATGTATATTTCAAAGAAATATAGAGCACAGTCTTACAGCCTAATACGAGAGCTAAGACGAATATAAGACAAGCTAACAATACATTATGGTACATGGCTGGTACGGACAGAAAGGAATTCAGAGAAGGAAGTTATTGTGACCTGTAATGGCCATAGAAAGCTTCTCAGAGGAGGCAGGATTTAACCCAAGGAGTGAAGAATAGGTAGGATTTAGAAGATCAGGGAAGTGAGCATTCCAGGTCAGTAGAGAATAAAATGAGGAAAGGGGTAGAGGTGAGCATGCATTTTAGAGAGAAGTAAAAGCTGTACTTGGAGCATAGGGTTATAGAAAGCTTGAAATGCCAGGATAAGAAATTTGGACTAAATCCTGTAGACAGTAGGGAGCCATTGAAAGTTTCTGAGCAGGGAATTGAAGTGATCTGAGTAGTGTTATGGGATAAATAGGACATCAGCTGGAAGTCTAGCCACAGAGCACCTTGATTAGCATAGTTTATGGGACATGAAGCCTCAGTATCTTTTTCTCTGCTGCAAAATTGACTAGTTTAGATGCCAGAAAAATAAGTATTTATTAATAAAAGAACTGATTTTACTAAATGTATTAATAATAAGTACTTACTAAGTGCTTACTATATATTGTGCCAGGCACTATCTTAAGCACTAATATTACACTGAAAAAGCAGAAACAGTCTCTGCTTACAGACTTCAAGACCAAAAGGAATCTGAATTGGGACCCCTGCCATGTCTGATGAGATTTCTAGTTCCTTTCAGAACCAGTCTTCTAGTCTTCACTCTAAATTTGAGCCCTTAGACTATTCCTTTTTGGCCCTGGTATGGCACTGACTTTACACTGTTTTGTAATCACTGACCATCTTGGAAAGTAAGAGAAGTAGATTGTCCTGAAGATTTTTTTATCAAGGCAATTGGGGTTAAGTGACTTGCCCAGGGTCACACAGCTAGTGTCAAGTGTCTGATGTCGAATTTGAACTCAGGTCCTCCTGACTCCAGAGCCCAATTGAATTATATCCTCAGCTTCTAAAAGAATGTACCAATGTGATTAGTGACTCTGAGGAATTATGAAGAATGAAAAAGATATAAGAAGGCTGCAGACAGTTAAATGTAGTTTCGATTTTCAAAACAAAGTGTGGATTCTAGAAACTCCAGATCAGTTAATATCTATCAACAGCAAAGTTCTAAAACTAATTATAAA